GTAACAGGTACAGGTAATACTAAAAGTAAAACCCAATATCTTAATTATTCCTGATAAAATGCAGGACGAGAAGATAAGATAACGTGAATTCATGCATAACAGATGTAGACATATTATTTACTAATGTGGATTACGAAGGATTTTATCTTATAGGGTTAAAATATTTTAATCACTTGCTTGCTTAGCATGCATAGCGGACGAGTTTGATTAGCTTCACAACTACAATAATAAATCCGGTTCTGGAAGTTTTAATGTTCTTTTACTTTTTTATTCGGTTTGATAGTTCACAAGTTTAATAGAAAACTACTAGGTATCGTAGTTTGGATATAAAAATACCGCCAGCAAATAGTCTGGGTTGATTTTTGCTATTTTCCCAATTGTATTACATTTATAGTTTAAATTTTAAAATTTAAATTGTCATATATGTTACCAAAGTGCAATTATCTTTTCGGTCAAAAGTGTTGAAAGAAGTCTATAGTTAACCATGTTTATGCTCGAGTAGTCTCAGCATATGCGGCCTTCTATGAAGTAATTGTGCGCTAGAACTATGCGAGTGAAAACAAAAAACTGCGAAAAGATCATGTGGTGATTCCTTGGGCCGGTAAACAAGTTTTCAAAGCCTTTCGAACATAGCAAACCGGCCGTCAAATATAGGTGGACGCACGGGCTAAGAGTGGACGTGGACCCACTTAGTGATGTGTGCCAATGGAGTGGAAGTGGACATAGGGTCCACTAAGAGAGGTGAAGTTGGGGCGTTACAAGTGTTATCGATTTTGACGGAAAACACAATTTTACGGTTTTGGTAACACGATTTTACGGGTTTGGCAGAAAACATTGGTTTTATGGTTTTAACGGGAAAACACGGTTTTACGGGTGTAACAGAAAAACATTGGTTTTACGGTTTTGATGGGAAAACACAATTTTATATTTTAGCGGAAAAGCATGATTTTATATTTTGACTCAAATTGATTCCATCTAACCTAAAAGAGAGAAGCAATGCAAATATGCACTTAAGGACATACTCATGAATGCAAAATGATGGAATAAATAAGAGAAATTAACCTCTAAGATATCATCCGTTAGAATAAAATATAAATTCCTGAAAAAGTACTTTGTATGGCAATCGAGTCTCACTGATGTGGAATAAGATTGTGACAATCCAACAAACAGGGGACCTCCGATATCGAGGAGCTCTACAAGCTTGGTTTGAAACAAGACACTTACACATAAACCTTTTGTTTTTTGACTCTTGATTAAGCTTTGTTTCAGTCATAAGTTTTCACTTTTCACATTGTATTAAGAAACCTCAAAACAGCTGTTGTAAAATTTTATTTTTTAGTTTTAATATAATTTAACATTTTATTCAAAAATAAAAAATAAAAAATAAAGCAATCGAGTCTCTTCGCTTTTTTTACTTGTCACAATGTATTGCCCTTCCACGCGTATTGTAGTTGAAGTGATAACATATAGCAATTTCATTTCCATATGTATATGACTATTTTTTAAGAAATATTTTATTATTGCTTTGCAAAATAGTGATTGGGGCTAGAAATTTGTTGGTAGTAAGCACACACGATTAAACTTTATCTTTATTATCTGCATTAAATAAAATAAAATTTCCGCAAATAATATCATTTAAAGACAACATCTCCACAATGTAATATCTTAATAACATTTTTATATCGAACAGCCACATGCTTTTAAAGGCACACCAGGTTCCTCTCTGTAACATACTCCATGAGGGTAGCCCCTTTCAAGGCATCTTTTGTCGCATTCTAGAGTTGTCGAGCAAGAACCTATCACAATAACTCCAGCTTCCACATTTTCTGTAATATGTAACAAATTATTACAAAACATTAAATATTAATAAACAAGTTATATATGTTTAAATTGAAACTGTAGATTGTTGCGTACTTGGGATGAAGAGAACAACCAAACACAAGAACACAAGAAATTAAATTTTGCATGATGAAACCATTTTATTTTATTTTTAAGGATGAAATATAATGGAAACACTTAGAGTTATATATATATATATATATTTTTATATATACCGAAAATGTGTTCCCTCCATAAGTGCAATATCTCAAAATATTTGGAATTGTTTTCATTTAAAAATTTGGTCAACCCGTTAATTTGTATTCCATATTTAGTTTAACTATATATCTTAGCTCTATATATGTAAAATATATTAATTTTTGACCAAATATCCAATATACATGAATTTATTTATATATGGAAAAAGATGGTTAGCATTTCCAACTGGAAAATATTTGTAAAGAACAATTATTGGGTTCACCCCTAGGGGTAAACCTATCTCATTCACCCCCTCCAAGCTAACCAATCAGAATTAGCCATGTCATCTAATTAAATTAATTAAAATAAATCATATTTATAAAACCAAACCAAAATTTAATCTTGCTTAATTACAAAATCTAAACCTTAACCACTATTTTATCAACCCAAACTTAATATAATATTTTTTTGGGACAAACTAAAATTGATTAAAACTTAAAGATTTTTACACTGCATGGGAGGGGGAACTGAAAATACCCACAAGGGCTAACAAAAGAAAGCAGTAGGCTACAACAAGAGCTGCAATAAAAGCAGTAAAAATAGTAGCAGAGGAGTTGCACAACAAAACTATATCATGGAGGATCCCTTTTAGCTTTGTAGTACTTTCATTTGCATTGATGAGTGAAAGCATGCCTTGAGAATCCCACAACACCGTTAGAAAGGCAAAATCCAGCTGATCGGTTGCCAATATGAGCGCTCTCCGCAATGCAAGGCCTGAGGCAACATAGGCTCCATTCACAAAGAAAGATGCAATACTGAAACAATCAGAACTTTTAAACGTCCATCCCAAACATCATAAACAAGAAGCGACAAACCACTCTACATCGTCCTCATGGCTAGAGTGTTGTGATAAGCTTCGAGTGAGTCATGCAATAGGGAAATTCAAGTGATCGAAAGAGCTCCCAAAAGCTGGGTGAAAACATTCACCAACAACAATTCTCGTTTCTACATCCAGCAGAATTTTTTAAAATTCAATGCTCCATATAACACTACCACTAAACACAAGTGAAGTAGTTAGGAGGAAATTAAGCTCCGTAAAGGAGAGATTATAGCTGTAAAAGCTCCAATGAACCAACTTAGTTGGCCGGTTGATGTTACTCAAAGATCTCTGTCCAAGCTGCCACAAGACAAGAGACAAATCGAGATAGGATCTGCATAATGCAGTAATTGATTGCATCAAGGCGATAAGAGTGCTACAAGAGAGCACAAATGTAATATATATATATATATATATATACAAACCAATGACAATTGAATTTGCTAACTTTGTATTCCACAAAACCACGACCACAAACTAAACGAACATCCTAATTCTTTCCATCAAAGGAGAGTTAGAGTGCGAAGAGAAAGAGTGTACATGGGGGCGCATCAGTGACAAATTACCAGATCTAGCAGAAGGGAACTGGAGGAGCGAGACAAAGGCTGTGAAGAGATTGGAAAGCATTGGCTGAGGAAGAGAAAATCCAAAGAAGAGGCAGATCTGAAGTTCCGGTGGAGGAGCAGGAGGAGGATTCAGAGAAGGGAGGCGGCCGAAGAAATCGGAAAGCAACGAGAGTGGCTCGAAAACACCAGAGGAAAGGAAATCATCATCTTAGGTAAGCGATTGTCGGAGAACAAAACGTCACCAGAGGATCACCCGGATGACTAACCTTAATCGCAATCACCAATCAAGAGAAGCGGTTGACGGAGGAGCAACACCGGTGGAAGAAGCTCATGTCGTCGAAGGAAGCGGCGCCTTTGGTTTTTGTGTCTTAATTTTGTTTACTTATAAAACTAGGATCGGACCCGCGCTACAGCGCGGGGGAAATGTCTCGAATTGATTTTGTGAAATAACGTAAGATATTGCTCTAGCGGGATATTATCCGGGAGTTTAGCTATTTTTAAGTAGTAGGAAATTTGAGTGGTTTGGGTTAATATTTTATTTGTAAAGCATATAGTAAATAAAAACCACATTTACTTTACATGCACTATATTTTTTGGTATTAAACTTAACAATTTTTACTTATAACCAATTAAAATCAAAGAAGGACAATATTATTATATTTAATTTCTTACTAATATTCCTTTGTAATTTGTTTTTTAAAATTTATTAATGGTTTTTTAATTTTATGTATTAATTAGTGGAATTTTATAAAGAGCATAACTATGCAAATAAATTTACACACATACATCTAAACTTGGACGTGGGGTATGAAATTTTATTAAACTTAACATATTTAGTTCCAATTTGTGTTGGATATTTTTAAGCAATATAATGAAGCCCATTTTACTCACGTAGCCCATCAAAAAAGTCTTACTAAGACTAAAGCAAAATCAACAACTCTCATCTATGAAAGGCAACTCCACCGACTAAATACACAGAGTAATTCGACAGTGATATAGCTTCTCCTCATCATATGTGAACAACCGATTGCCCTTTGAAACCCTGTTTTATCAATGCTTTTTAAACCTTAGAAATAACTTTCCAAATTATTTCTTGGCAAATTGTACTATGGTACCCAAATCTGATTCTGGGTATTAGAGATTGACGAAGACTTCCAGAGCGCGGGTTCGATTTCGGAATTTCGTTTTAATGTCGGCAGCTGCAGTATCGTCTATACGTCAATCACATCCAACGTCTTGCGATGCTTGAGAGAAGGTGCAGTTTTAGTTAACATTGTGAGTACAATTAGATAGATTAGGTACCTTTTCAATTGAAATTCACTTTGAATAGTTTCACATGAAATGGAGGTCGAAATCTAATTTACTGTAACAATAAGCTCGAGTTTTCTCATGTTTCAATTAAAGTATACCCAAAATCATTTAACAGTTTTCAGATGTTTCCTATTGATAGGTGTTTAATCAATTGTTTTATATCTTAATTTCTGACAATGTTTTCTCCGTTTACCTTCACGAAACACGTTTTACACCATCGAAATAGACTTCACAAACTATTGTTGTCCGTTGGATTTGAGTCTTGCACCATAAGGTCAGTTTGACTATATTCTGAACTACTTGAGTTGTTATATATTGAGATTGTTGAAGCATAGGTTTAGTTATTAAACCACTGTATGAAATCGCTCAATTTAAGAACATGTTAGATTGGGAAAAACACTCTTATTGATTATTATTGTGAACATGAAATAACTGTTGCAGACATTGCAAACGGAAATTGAAATAGTGAAATAGAAATGGGGATAGTGAATTTGAATGTAAAACTAAGAAATTGAAAACATACCAATCTTCCAATAAACCTCTCGCCACACAAGCTTCGTTGTAGGACTCATAAACCACACCTTCAAACTTCCTCAAGTCTTCATCACATGATGGACCTCTGAGGAAACGGAATAGCAGTTTTAAACTCAAATTACGATCAAACTTACTTGGTAAAGATGCTCTCCTACTTGTGTTGATTCTCAATCTTCTTCTCCAGCGTTTTTCTTTTGGGTCCCAAGTAAAGTATGATGGGATCTCTTCAAAAGTTAATTCCTTAGCTTGTGGAATGGTGACGTTTAGATCGAACCATGCTTGTAGCATTGGGTTTTTGAAATCTTTCATTGCTTGGTCATTCACCATTTTTTCAAAGGGATTGTTTGCTGTATTTGAGAATTGTTTGGCTGCTTTGTTGTGTATCAATTGATAGGTTTCTAGGCTGCGTCCTTTAACTTTATATAGATTTTTGAGGTAGGGTTTTTTGTATCTCTGGATCCCTGGTTTACAGCATTGAATATATCAGATATTGAGTATATTTCTGTTTTTGGTTCATATGAAGATATGCAAATGATGGAATATTCTCCAGATCAATGCATATTTATTTTTAAAATACGAAACTTAATGATGAATATATGTTTAGATTAGTACAAATATATATTCTTAGGTTTTTATATATAAAATCTCCCTTAAAACCTCGACAATGTTCTCTTATAACATGCAATCTCCTTCTAATTTTTTATAAATGATATTGTAATCCCTTTTATAATAATTATGAAATGTGAAATGTTTCCAAAGTCTTCTACATAGTAAACGTAGGTAGAACTAAAAAATTGTAAACTGGTTGCAACTAATACAATGTCGTTTTTATTGTTGTAGCAAAAAAAGAGTACCGATGCATCACTCTTAAGATAGTAGCCATAGAACTTGTGGAGCTCTTGGTCTACACATGCCTTCCTGCCATGTACCTGTACAATTTATAATGAAACTACTAAGGAACCGTATTGTGTTAAACATTCCTGTATCACTTAGTCGTTAAATTAATAAGTATAGATAGAAGGAAATTACCACTGGACTACGACTGAACATCTTCACTTTTCTAGATTCTGAAAAACCTCTTTGAAAACAACATTCATCGTTTTTGTTTGGGGGTTTCCTTCCTTGACAAGTATTAAAACTTTCAGACCACTCTTTGAAGTAACTCTTGACAATGCAACGTACAACTGGTCATGAGAGAAGACTGGTCGAGGCAAAAAGAGACCCACTTCTTTCAATGATTGGCCTTGACTCTTGTTGATGGTCATAGCAAAAGCAAGAGTTAGTGGAAATTGTCTTCGCCGCATCTTGAAGGGAAGTTTAGTGTCTGATGGCTTAATAAACATTTGAGGAATTAACACTAAATCACCACTCCTATCTCCAGTAATAACCATTGCCTCTATAACATGGTTAGCCATTTGAGTGATTTGAAGCCTTGTTCCATTACATAACCCCCCTTTTGGATCAATATTCCTCAGCAACATAACCGGAGCCCCAATCTTTAACCGCAAACTGTGTTGTGGTAATCCAGATAATTTGATGCTGTTCAAAAAGTCTGGAGTGAAAATAGGATTGTCTGCTGAATCTAGATCGGTAGGATCAATACTATCACTGCTGTAGTAAATTTTCTCTGCACCTGAAATTTAAGATTGTAGCCGCTTTAGATGTTAGAATTGTCCAAACCATGAAGATCCATCATGTTTACAGTTGTAGTTAATTTAATTGGAGCAATTTAATAACTTACCAGATAACTTATCAAGCATGCTTTGATTGATAGTGTTGACATCTTCATTTGTTGGTGCTAGGATTGCTCTTTGTTGGAAAAACTTAGGATCATTAATCTCTTTCAATGCTTTAACATCCCCATATATTTCCCTACTAATCGCCTCTATAGGGTCCTCCACATCCTTTATTAGAAACTCTTCGGGAATGTCAATAAGTGCCTCTCCATCATTTGGTTCTGCAATCTTTCCATCACCAACATCCAAAATCCAGTTAGAAAACTCTTCAATGTCTTTAGCCTCTTCTAAACTTAAGTTGTTGCTGAGAAGCCGCATATTCTTGGTTAGCTTTAAGACTTTGCAATGGTCCCATAGGTAAGAAGCATTTAACGATGACAACACAATCTCAGCTCTACTTCCCCCATTAATAACTGGTAGAATTTGTCTGAAATCCCCACCAAAAACAACAACTTTCCCACCGAAAGGCCTATCATCAACCTTCCTAACACAATCATTCAAACTCCTATCCAAATTCTCGAAACAATACTTACTCATCATTGGAGCTTCATCCCATATGATTAAAGAAGCTTCTTCCATCAATTTAGCTAAATCGGAATTAGGAGTCATAGTACATGATGTGTTATCATCGGGAACAATTGGAATGCCAAACCTAGAATGAGCAGTCCTTCCACCAGGAAGCAGGAGAGAAGCAATGCCGCTAGATGCCGTATTTATTACTATCATGCCTCTATATCTAACTGCAGCAGATAGAGTCTTCCAAATGAATGTTTTTCCTGTGCCACCAAAACCGTAAACGAAAAAAACTCCCCCTTTATCGTTAAGTACAGCATCCAGTATTTCTTCAAGTACTGCCTTTTGTTCTGTTGTTAACATCTGCACCCATTTTTCATGATATTCTTTCTGCTTTTGCCTATTGTATTTCATTTCTTCAACAATCAAATGATTAGAAATATCAATACTCTCTCTTTGAGGCTGCGGCATTTTCTCTATTGTAGCTAGAGATCCCCCATTCATTAGAAGTAGCTTCTCCACTTCAATGAGAGTGTAGTTTCTTTTGTCTGAATCAGACAACTTCAGCTCTGTACAATACAAATATATTGGTTAGTTTTGTTTACTCCAAGAACGATTTTATAAATAAAAAAAACAAATAAAATGACATAATCTAAATTACGTTTATTAAAAGCAGCTCAAGTCAGCGATATTTACCTGGATTGTTGTACTCTTCTTGTTTTCTTCTCTCAATATCTTCTGACAGAAATAACCATGTTTCTTCCAAAACATGTTCTGGACGGGATAATGATTCAGACAGAATCATATTAGCAAACAAATTCTTTAAATGGTCCCCAAAACACCATAGACTTGCATCTATCAAACAATCAATGAATATTTGATCATCATCCAGAATACCTCTTGCAAAACACGCTTCTTTATACGTTTTATAGACAACACCTTCATATGTCTTGAGGTCATCAAAGGATTTTGGTCCACGAACTATCTTTAAGAGGATACGCATGTAATACTCTGCTTCCATTCTGCGAGGAACATAGTTAATCCTACCTAAAGAGAAACCTCTTTTCCTTTCTTGCCATTGCTTTTTCTTACCTTGCCATGTAAAATGAGCCGGTATCTCTGAATAAAGCCACTGATTAGCTGAAGGATTGGTCTGATTAAGGTAGAACCAAGCAGTCAGTTGAGAATCTTCATTTACTGATTTTTGCAAAACTTCTTCAATGTCATCATCCTTTTTAAAGTAGCACGGTTTCTTCCCTTCTACATGGAAAGATAGCTTTTGAACCGGTGTAGTTCTATACTGAATTGGGAATTTAAATATCCTCCAAATAGCTTCAGATGCAGAAACATACCTACACATTATTATCTATATTAACATTTTTGGAGCAATTTTTGAAAAAACCATTGGATTTTGAAACTATTTACATCACTGCCATTGTATTTATTGAAAGTAATTAATTTCTTAGCAAATATTAATTCAAACTCGCCCATAAATTAGGAAAATATTTAATAATCTTAATTAACAGTTTAATTTAACTAACATGATTAATTTCTTACTCCCCATAAATTAGGATACAGTTTAACTACTACCTTTAAAATTAGCAAATATTTAGGAAACAAAATAATCGACACAACGAAAATTAAGTTGTATAATCAAATTTTAATTCACAAATTGTAGTATTAGAAAACAAGTAAATAATGTATTTCGACCATAAATTAGATGGGAAATAATGATTAATTTAATTCAATCGTTGTTTGTCTAAAAAAAAAAAAAAACCCCCACATTGTAGGTTGATTTTCCTACAATTATTCCTACAATTTCGTAAATATTTAATAAAATACTTACCTATTATTCCATCGCAAATTCAAATGTAATAATACTATTAAATGTGATTTATTAAAAATCCATATCCGATTTTATATAGCATATTCTTAACTTCTTTAACAAGAATATCTTAATTTGATTCTGAATTTATTCCTCTCGACCTCTATAATTCACTATAAATACTACATATTTCTATGCTAAACAATCATCAACACTTAAAAGACTCCACAATTGAGAGAGACGACAGAGAACATCTTTTGTAGAAATTAATTTTTTTTTCTTTTTTCTTTGAGGTTCGATTGTTTCAAGCTTGGTGGATAACAAATTTATTCTGTATTTTTTTCTGACTTAATTGTTTTGCTCTCTTTTTAAATTTTTAATTTACCTGTATATATAAAAATCTAATATTTAAACACTCACAAATGCACATAATCCATAGTATTTTAAACAAAAATAATTTTTAAACTCATTCATGGTAGAAGTAGAACCAAATCCAGTTATATACAACATGCCGTTGTAAAGTGAACTTACTAAGATTTTACAAATATTTCATTCTTCAATCATCTATATTAACATTTTTGCAGAATTTTTTGAAATAATTCATAGACGAGTTGTAAGACGAGACGCGTTTGAATTAATAATATAAAAAATTAAAATATCATTAATCTCATATTTCAATACGGGTAAACTCTTCATTTTACTACTTAATATAAGACATGTATAATTAAATTGATTTTATGAAAATTGGTATTATGAAATCTTAATAATAGTGAAATAAACTCCAAAAAATTTTTTATGTAAATTCCGGAAAAAAAAACTGAATTTAAAAAAAAAATTATTTGCCCGCGGTGTACCGCGGGTAAAAATCTAGTCTAATTTTACGATTGTATTATTTCCATAACTAATTAGAAGATTTCCAAATATTTCTCTAACTAATTTAATATAATCTATTAAAATAATTATTATTCTTCTTTCACTTTTATTTGATCTTATTTTTAATTTATGATATTATACTATATAATATAAATATTTAATAATAATTTAACTTTTTTTGCATATACTGCAATTTGAATTTTTTGAAACGGACATATAATACTCAACTACTCTCGGTTAAATATTTTGGACAATGATTTAAAATCATTATAAGTATGACCAATATTAAAACCATTGTTACATGAGCATATTTAAAAATTTTAAAAGTTTCAAAATATTATGATTAAGAGGTTCAAATATATATAAACTTTAGAATTTATCATATGGAATTTTTTTTAAGACATAAATGTAATTTTGGAGACATAATTTTAGTTGATAAAATATATTATATATCAAACTATTTAAAATTTATATTGTTCACGGGTAGTTTGTTAAATCACAATTATAATGATAAAGCGAGTTATGAATAATGTTTTTTACAAAATGGATTCTGTTACGGGTTGGTCCTTCAAAAAAATTATTGTAAATATGTAATTTTACATATATTCCTACTTCTACTACAAAATGGTCAAAATGAATATTTTATCGACAAATATTATTTCGTGCTGTTAAATTATCACCGTGTTTTTAGTTGTATCAAAACTCAATATATAATTATTTACTCACTTTTTCCTTTATTATTTTATTTAAACTTATTATACAAATATATGATTCACCGTAATCGACTGGATTGCAATAAAATTAAAATGTAACATATTCTAATCTGTTAAAGGTTATATATATATGTAAATATTTCCTCCGCGCTGTAGCGCGGATCCGAACCTAGTTCACAAGTAATTATCAAACTTTATATTAACAAAATCGTGCTTTATGGTAGATGTTATGATCGTATACTTTGAAAATAACTTTAACGTAAATTTAATCAAAAGGAGAGGGTGAAGTCACGTACCTACAATCAAAGTAATCTTTGATTTCATTTTTCTTCTTTTGGTTTGCGTTGGAGTTATCAACCTTTGATGAAGTTGTAGTCTCGGTAGAATCATTTGGCTCCACAACAAAAGCTACTCTATCAGGCCCCTTGTTTATGTACTTAAACAAATATTTGATGGATCCGGTTTGGTTACACCACTCGACATTGATATGAGCCCTGTACCGTAGACATAGCTTCTCATTATAAGGAACTACATAACGGTTATCACACTTGAATCCACCTTTTTCCACATAATTGGTTGATTGTCGCCTTCTATAAGTAGGAAAACCATCTTTCCCTATTTTAGTGAACTCCGCATGAGACTTTGGAAACATCTTAGAACACTTACCATCCACCATACATGGTGAGTTCTTATTAGCAGCTCCACAAGGACCGTGAATCATAGAGTCTTTTATGATTTCATATAACTCTGGTTTCTCTTCTTTATCCGGAATCTCTGCGCAAATGATTTTATTGATGTCATCTGATGTTGGCAGCTTACTTTTATTGTCCATGAAGAGTAGAATGTGAGCATGAGGCAATCCTCTTTTCTGAAACTCAACTGTATACATAGCTGAAAGTAGAATGATAGATAGTTAAAAAAATAAAAAATGTGACTAATAAGGTGTTAACTCTATATGGCCAGAGAATAAATAATTAAAAGATATAGTATGTATAGTATACCTGCCACTGTTTTCCCTAGATACTTCTTTTCAGTTAAGTCAACCATCAATGAGTCAAGCTTGATTTTGAATATGCGGCAGATGATGTCAGGCCTATCATTTTCAGTAAGACCGCGTGCTTTTACATACCGAGTTATCTCTGGCCACTTGGGATTACATGTAAATGTGATAAAAAGGTCTGGGAAGCCATAATGTTTGCATATAGCCATAGCATCATAATAGCTTTGAACCATATAACGTGGACCACCAGTGAAGGAAGATGGGATTGAAACCGGATTACCTTGCTCACCTAGGATGTTAACTCCTGAATTTGATGCTTCTTTTATGGAGCTGTAATTTTCACACCTTAACTTAGACTGGTTGAACTTGATGTATTTCAATATGTTTGCTTCTATAGCTGGGTACGCATCCACCACATACTGCTGGAACAACCTTCTAGATAGTAACAATGTAGGCGATTCTGATTCTCTTTCTTGAATGCGGAACGCAAACCATTGTCTCATACTTATGCACTTGATCTTCTTAGTTTTCATTTTGTCAGTGTAACCTTTCTGAATTCCTGGTCTGAATCCATCTTCTCCAAAGATGTGAATCAAGGGATATTGTAATGCCAGATAAGAGGGATGTATCTCACTGATTCTTTGAAGTAGTCCAGTAGATTTTTCTTCAATAATTATATCGCGTTCTGGCATCTGTTTAACAAAATCCCCAGGAATAAGTGCAGCTATCTCCCCAGCCGTAGGATTAGTGTAATTCCTACCATCAATCCCGATACGGTCACTTATTATCCTCATGTGGAAAGTCTCATCAGCATTGTTTGCAAACCGGTCTCTAGCCATTCGAAAATGTTCAACATATGGATTAGCATCATCCAACATCTTTATCATTGGTTCAATTATTTCCTTCTTGAGCATCTTCTTCCCAACAGGTTCATTAGTAGCTTTTGTTTTGCTGTATATAAAAAGGATGGCGTTATTAGAAAATGATATAATGAAGACCATTCGTGTGTGAAACAAATTAGACAAAGTTGTACTAACCTCAGAATTGTTTCTCTATTGGAAACCTCATTTTTTGTGTCAACAATATAAAGTTGAGAGAACTTTGCATGATCATTGGCTTTAGGCTTCATACTACCAATAAGATGATAGTTAGCTCCTTGTAATTGAAACATGTTAGGGCCAGTGCCTAGATTGACTGTTTTATCAACTTTTCCTCCGAGAGATGTCATTGCAAAAACCATACAATAACCCCTAAGATTTGCTTGAAAATGCCTGCTTAATCTATCTTTACTAGTGAGTAACTTTCTCAGAAATTCTGGTGATTGTTTGAACAGCGGCAGCTTGACAGTTCCTTGAAGACAACACAAAGAGAAGGTAGGACAGCGAGCATTACGTCTCTTGTTGAGTCTCTCAGCATACCACATTTTAGCACCACAATACTGACATGTATAATCTGCATCTCCATGGTCTAAATAAGCTGAAATTGAAACATAATTAAGATTTAGGATTGTGTTTAATGTGATGATTAAATATAACAGCTACATGAGCCCAAATTACATGTTTCTTGTTTCTTTTTTCTGGCAGCATTCCCTTTGGTAGCTCGTTTTCCATTGCTATTGATTTTTTCGTGAGCCATAGGTGATGTAGATGGTAATACATCCTCTGACAAATAACCTTGTGTCATTTCTTCATCACTGCTTGTTAGATAATAATGTTGGTCCTCCTCATGATTTTGCTCATCTACATTTGATGCACAACTTGTTAGTAATATTCATTATACAATGTAAGTTGCCTTTGATTATTTTTGCTTTGATGAGAATACCTTCAGAAGACTGAGACCAGTAAGCGTCATTAAATTCTGCTTCTAAGTTCCTTGGTGTATTCATGGGTTTTTTCTGTGTCTCTTCTACTAAGATGCCATCAGACCGAGAACAGACATAGGCCGTATGATCATCCTCATCTGGCAAAATGTTAAATGAAATCAAATCAGAGGGTGATTAATAAGAGGTACATGGCAGTAGGTGTCTACGAAATTAGAAAATAAATTGTCATACCAATTTCTTTACCTTTGTGTGATGTGTATTGTTGGTTTGATTGAGAATCTCTTCTGAAAGCTATGTGCCTTTCTCTGTTTCTTTGAAAGATTTCATGAGAGGAAAGTGTGCTCTTTGAGGCACTGATAGAAATATTTGGGAAATGAGGTGTATAATTGTTTTCTGAACCGGGTGCTGTATGTGGAAAGATACAGAATGTTTGTTAGGTTATTTGACATTAAAAAGTACCAAGTCAAACTGTTGGTATTATATTAACGCTGAGTATTCTCTTCTTACCAGATTGTCTAACAAAATTGCTAGAGGATGGTAGTTGTCGCTGTGGAGTTGTTTCAGCACTGTGAGGTCTGGCTCTTGGTAAGTTTGTTATATCTTGGAAGACTCTGGAAAAAACTGTCTGTACTGAAATGGAAGAATTCCTTTCACTTTGGTTTTCATGAGTAACGTTACTCAGAGGAGAAGAAGTTGAAAATATTCTGATTCTTTTCGTTGTTCTTGGAATACTTTCATCCGGAGGTGCACCGTCATTCCTCTTGTTCATCTTCTCGGTACCAATAAGTTATGATAGAGCTCAACAACGCTTCAATATTACTTGTAAGGTGTTCTCGGACTCAGAAAAATTCTTTCAACGATTTGTTCCGATATTGCGAGTATAAGATTAGCGTGATTTGTGGAAAATATAGGATCCTAGTGTATTCTTAATTTAATTTCCTATATTAATTACACAATTTGGTTATATGGCATTTAACGAATATGTGTTATTTTTCTTAGAAGAATTTTAAATCTTTACTTGGTATGTAATGGAAAGTCGATTTACATTATATATTCATTATTTTCTTTTTTAGCAGTTCAGAAAATATATGATTTTGTTATTTTTGGTATAATTTATTTTAAGATCTCATATATGACTTTTTTAGCAGTTCGCAAAATATATAATTTTGTTATTACTGGTTTTATTTCATTTGAAACCAATTTAATCACCCTATAGCCCTTATCATACGATTTTAAAGTCTTTTATCAATAATATACTCATACGCGGGCTAAGTGTTCTTTTTTGGTCGTCACTTTTTTATGTCATTTAGTATACTGACGTTTTTGTATATATAGATACATTACAATTAGACACATATCCACCAACTATCGTTAACTATGTAGTTTTAGCATATGATTTCAGAGAAAGCATTACATAAAAGACACAGAAATATTAATAATAGGAAAAGGAAGCATATTTTATTTAAAACCAAATAAAACCAAATAAAGTAAAGGCAAAAGCAATATTACTTATTGTCTAATAAGAGAAACCTCTCAGCTTATTGAAATGTTGCAAAGTATTTTAAAAGCATTTAATATAATGAAATAGTGCATGACTCCTCATTGTTAAATTCCAGAGATAGATGATCACACATTTTGCACGACGCGCCCAACATTTTCTTCCTCAATAGCGTTGGTGATAGAACCAACACAAACTTTTTTAGACGATGACGTTTGATCGTCTGGACCATCAAACGCTTCATCTTTGCGTTTGGAAGATGGAGTAGTTGAATCCGAAGCAGATGCGTCATTGTTATTAAGAGAGTCAGCTAACATAACTGTCTCCTAAAGATTCGAAATAACCGAGTCAGTATTGTAAGAAAATACTAATATGATGGTATGTGATAGATAACATGAAATGAATTTATACCTGATCTCCACTCACAATACTTGCTAAATCGTAAGACCCAAACGATGGTTCTTCAACATTATTGATCTCATCATCCAGCCCCAGGAAAACGTGAGCAACCTTGTAAGTATCACTCCCATCTCTGATGTTATCTTTTTCAACACTAACTACAAACTGGAAGGTCTTCCCAACCAAGTTCAGAAATGGTTGAGGGATTTTCGTTGGGTCTTGTATCTTATAACAAAAAGTGAAACAATCGTAAGACTTTAAATGGAAATATTTAGAATGTACATAATTACAACCCAATGAAAATCTAACCTCATCGTAATTACCATCGAGCATCTGAATAGAAGATTGGTGGGTAAGACTTGTTGCATCGGTCTCGAATAGCACAAATTTAGATTGACCAGTAGAATCCATGACACAAACTATCAACTTATACCTAGAATATTAAAATGAAATATTAGGATTACATGAACAATTGGGTGATACAACTAAAGTAACTAAAATTAATAAAATATTATTGTAAATATACTAGGTTCGGACCCGCGCTACAGCGCGGAAAACTTGTATTTTGCTAACATTATTAATATATATATATATATAATGATGAGTAAATATATATATATTAGAACCAAAAAAAGTAGTTGGTGTGTTGAATGATAGTAATAGTGTGTAGTGGGTTTTCTTTGTCTATAATAATAAAGGAGAAGAAGTAAACGATGTTTTTTATAAGATATTTGCATAAGTATATATAAGTAATTTTCACCAATAGTTAATATTCGTATCACTTAATTTCAAATGTGAAGATCATTTTTTGAGAAACACATTTGGTGTTTTCAAATCTTTTTTTGTGGGTAAAAATTTATGTTTTAAATTTAAGTATTCCAATTTTTTAACTATGAAAATAATTATAAGTCCATATCATACTATGGGTGAAGGCTTGTTAATTTGTGTTTTTGGGCTTTTGTTAAATAAGTTCTATTTTAACAATTTGTGAGTATTGGGCCTCGAAAATGTAGGCCCGAAATGTTTTCCTTTTTGTTAATAGTCAATGTATGAACCAAAAGACTTTCCCTTTCATCTTCCTTCTTCTTCTTTGTCTTTATTCTTACCAGCACCGATTCTTTCCAAAAGCAAGACTCTTCAATAATGTGCATAGATTGTTGCTAACACCATTTCGAGGGTATCGCCAGAGTAGTCTCTATTTTGCTTCCAAGAGTGGACAATCTTCACTTGAATACGCCACCCAGTTTTGTAAGGTTTGATGCTAAGCAAATCAGTGATTACGGTGTTCGAAGCCATTTCGATTAAGTTTGTAAAGTAGAGAAAGTGGACAGAGTATAAGGTTAGGTTAGCATTGTTTATATAGTAGAACTTAGATACGCACAATTAGGGTTTGGTATTACGGCATATTCGTTCCATCTTTAGCATCTAAAAGGATCGATATTAAATGGTTAATATTTACTTAACAAATATACTACTCGTAAAGGAATAAATTAGGAGAGTTAAGATATGATTGAGAATTTTGTTCGGTATTGGAGATTTCTTGTTGTGATTTCGTAATATACGCACATACGATTGAAATCTTAGGTAGTTATTAATATTTATTGATATATACTAATTTAGATAATTCCCAAATATGATTCGAATAACTTGATTGCCAAGGGTTTTTAAAATCTCGTTTTTAAACAAATAACAAATTAACCTGCGATTAATGTGGGAGTAGGCAAAAACCGGATCCGTTTGTTAAACCATTTTGATGAGGATCCATCATTTAGAGTTCGGGTTATTTTTTTAAAAAAGTCCGACCCGGAAATATTAGATGTACTCCTCTTTTACAAATATAGAGATACCTTGGTTCAACCTTCGTATGGATTTCAGGACATCCTCTGCATGAGAAAAACGTTTTTTTGTTTTTCTTTACAACATCATTCTCAACTTTAGGGACTTTGTAGGCTGTTTTGTTGCACTTCAAGCAGACAAAGTAATACCAAGCAAACTCGATATCAATTGCATAGATTGTCGCCACGACCCTAAATTTTCCTTCCTACATTTTATGTGGATAAAAAAAAAAAAATAAGCAACCAATATTAGACATATAATATGAAAAGAATGTAGGCGTTTTCATGAGTTTACCTCATAATAATTTAAGAGATTAGCTATGGTTTGGATCGGGTGACGACGATTTTCCTCAGCTTTTTGCTTACTTTTATCCACCTTAGGAACTCTTGCTTTAACCGTCAAAGCGAGGCCATCTTTGGGGAGACTACAAAAAAAAATGAGTAAGTATATCAGTTTGAACCAAACAATATGCTATGCATATATGACTAATATATATACGAATGTCTTACTTGCCAACAAAGTCTAAAACGGCTGGCAAGTCAGGATCTATTTGCAGCAATGACATTTCAAAAGCATTGGATATTGATCTTTCACCTACATTAAATCAAAGTCATTGAGCAAATTATTTTAATTAATGTTCTAAATCATAGTTTGTGTTCCAATGTTACCTTTGAAGGAGTTGATTTTTGCAAATCTCAACAAACAAATGAATTTGTTTTCACCATTGTTAGCACAAGCATCAAAAATGCTCTCAGCAAACGTCCCCCAAAGGGTGCACGATAAACGTTGGTCCCTATAAAAAAGGACATGAAAATATATTTGGTTATATTAACTATAATAAAGTACGAAAATGGATAAGTAAAATTATAAAGCAGATGCTCGTAAACAAATGAAATGATCAACTAAAATCTCTTACAATCTCTATATTTAAGATTAGAGAAAAAAAGTTCTTTCATATAACACACTTCTATATAATGTACGTACGCAACACTATATTAAATCAAAACTATTATACTGAATCTAAACGTCTTTTTTAAGAGTCCAACAATGAAGATTAATGTATACGACATTTTATATAGAAGTATAAACATTATCTAAAATTACCTCGTGTCTCTTAGTTCAAACTCCAATTTTTTTTTTCTTTGTTTTCCACCAAATGAGTTTTCATTTCACCAAGGTTGACAACTTGCCCAATAACATCTGTAACATGAAAAACCATTAAAGAAGCAACAAAGTCGGTTGATTAAAGACTGCAAATATTATTAGTCAGAACTTATAAGAATAATTACCAATCAAGATGTTTTCAGTGAGGGTTCCATCATTATGAATTCTTTCGAAGTCCACCAAATCCAAGTACATGTCATCTGACAGAGACGCACAAGGAATGATAGATGTAATATTCATCACAGCCATTCGGTAAGCATGTTTGGTAACTCTAAAGCGACCGGTCGCTTTAGTCAAGATGAAGTTCTCAAAGATTCTCCGTTCACCAGCGACTATCAATCTCTGGAATTTAGAGAGCTGTTGTTTCTTGATAGTAGCATGAATGAGAGTACCCTACAAAGAAAAAAATCAATACCAAAACGTCTTAGTATAAGTAAGAATCCAATATTACGGATACGTTTTAGTATAAAAGAATCCAATATCAATCTCTAAACGTTTTAGTATAAGTAAGAAGAATAACTTACGGATACGTCTGCTAACACCATTTCGAGGGTCTCGCCAGAGTAGTCTCTGGTTTGCTTCCAACAGTGGACAATCTTCACTTGAATGCGCTACCCCGTTTTGTAAGGTTTGATGCTAAGCAAATCAGTGATGATGATATTAGAAGCCATTTCGATTAGATTTGTAAAATAGAGAAAGTCGACACAATATATTGTTAGGTTATCATTGTTTATATAGTAAAACTTAGAGAGCCACAATTAGGTTTCGTATTAGATGGCTAATTAAATGGCTAATTAAATGACAAATATTTAGTTAACAAATATACTAATCGTAAAGGAAGAATTGTGTAGATTAAGGATATAAATTTCGAATATTGTTTGGTATTGAGATATTTGGAAATAATTTGGTTGTGATTTGGAATATTGTAATCTTAGCTAATTAATGTGATATCCGAAATTATAGCTTTTCCTAACTTGTTCCGACTAACTTGATTGCTAAGGCTTTTTAAAATCCCGTATTTAAATAAAGAAGCTGCGATTAATGTGGCTACAGGCAAAAACCGAAACCATTGGTTAACCCAATTCGTTGAGGATCCATCAATGCAATTTCGGGTTGTTTTTTTAAAAAAATCCGACCCGGAACTATTAGATGTACTCCTCTTTTACTAATATAGAGATTTAAACCCTAACCACTATTTTATAAACTCAAACTGAAATATAATCTCGTTTAATTACAAATTATAAACACTAACCACAACTTATTCAACCCAAACCGAAATATAATTTCGTTTAATTACAAAATCTAAACCCTAACCACTATTTATCAACCCAAACCAAAATATTGTTTATTCATAAAATCTAAAATCTAACCACTATTTTATAAATTCAAACAAAAGATATAATTTTATTTGTTTATAAAATCTAAATCTTAACCACTCTTTTATAAACTCAGACCGAAAATATACTTTCCTTATAAAAATCCTACATAATTTGTTTCCTTCAGTTGTTTTATTTTATTGATTTAATTTTATTTTTTAAATAGAAAATGACATGTCATATTATTGTATTTTGATTGGCTAAGTAAGAGCGGGTGAGCCCAAGTATTTTTCAATTTTGTTTATATCCGTGCATAGCACAGGCTCAACACTAGTATAATATATAAGTAAACACACGACATATTTTTAAACACACAAACTTAATCAGTACAATCAACTTAATTCAAAAACAATAAAGCTTTTAAATCACACATTAAAAGAAAAATAGCTTAATTAGTACAATAAATTCAATTCAAAGTGCTCTAATACCTTTGGTGAGGTCGCCGGTTCGAGTAGCGCTTGGGACGAAACCATATAACATGTTTTGGTTTCGGGCATGAGGGGACGTATGGGCTTCGGTCCAGAACCTATTTGATTATTCAAAAAAAAAAAAAATACCTTTGGTGAGATAAACATATATCACAAGAATTTAGAGTTGATAAAGAGAAAAATAGGTTTAGCTTCAATAAGTCTATAAATGACACTCATATAATTTTATAGGGGAAGAAAACGAATGAGTTCAACCCAAAACAAACCCAGTCAAAACCAGAAACTTGAATGTGGAAATACTTTGTAATCGAGCTCACAATCAACCTTAAGTTTGGTTTAACTTGAAATACAGTCGATTGATTGAAGGCTCAATCATTGTGACGTTGGAGACCCTATATTGCCTCCCATTGATCTTCCAATCAACCTTGAGGTCGATTGAAATGTTTTGTGGCTCCAATCTTGATCCAGATGAATTTTTTTTATTTTTCGGACAAACTGTATGAATTAGCTTTAGATTTGGATGTATATAACTCTTGATCCGCCGCTCCGTTTGACTCAAAATCACATGCGTTGAAAAGCCAATTCATTTTTCCTAAGACTTTAATAAAGGAATCTAAAGCTAAATCATAAAGAAAATTCTTCATATAATGCGATATTTTATTTCATTCAGATCGATCATGGATAACCATCTCTTTAGTTCTTCCATTCATCTTTCTTTGGTCATTCTTCCCATGATTCATTGACCTCTCCTAAATCTATTTTTATTATCGACATTGGTTCATTCTTCTTATTTTAGTTCCTTATTGTTCCATGTGACGCCAAAACTCAAATATTGATTATAGTGATGTTAATATGGGTAAACCCACCCCATTTATACCCATCCCATTTAAACCTCACCCCATTTACCTCAAACCCATTTAATCCCATTTAAGTTTAGATCCATTTAGTCCTAAACCTATTTAAATGCTCTCTACCCATTTAACCCATTTAGACCCATATATTAATTTATAGTAAATTTACAATATAGCTAATAACTATTTAAACTATTGATTATTTTTTTGACTTTAATGGAAAATAATTATATAATTATTTTTTACAGTTTTGGCGGAAATACATGTATTTACGATTTTCACGGAAAACACTATTTTTACGGTTTTGGCGGAAAAACACAATTTTACGGGTTTGACAGAAAAACATTGGTATTACGGTTTTGACGGGAAAACACGATTTTATATTTTGGTGGAAAAACATGATTTTATATTTTGACTCAAATTGAGTTTATCTAACCTAAAAGAGACATAAGCAATGCAAATATGTACTTAAGTACATACTCATGAATGCAAAATGATGGAAAAAAACCTCTAAGATATCATCCGTTAGAATAAAATATAATTTCCTGAAAAAGTACTTTGTGTGGCAATCGAGTCTCACTGATGTGGAATAAGATTGTGGCAATCCAACAAACAGGGGACCTCCGATATCGAGGAGCTCTACAAGCTTGGTTTGAAACAAGACACTTACACATACACAAATTTTTTTTTTGACTCTGGATTAAGCTTTGTTTCAGTCATAAGTTTTCACTTTTCCCATTGTATTAAGCAACCTCAAAAACAGCTGTTGTAAAATTTTATTTTTTTGTTTTAATATAATTTAACATTTTATTCAAGAATAAAAAATAACAAAAAACAATCGAGTTTCCTCACTCTTTTTTACTTGTCACAATGTATTGCCCTTCCACGCATATTGTAGTTGAAGTGATAACATATAGCAATTTAATTTCCATATGTATATGACTATTTCTTAAGAAATATTTTAATTGCTTTTCAAAATAGTGATTGGGGCTAGAACTTTGTTGGTAGTAAGCACTCACGATTAAAATTTATCTTTATTATCTGCATTAAATGAAATAAAATTTCCGCAAACAATATTATTATTGTGATTGTTTTAAAGACAACATCTCCACAATGTAATATCTTAATAACATTTTTATATCCAACAGCCACATGCTTTTAAAGGCGCACCAGGTTCCTCTCTGTAACATACTCCGTGAGGGTAGCCCCTTTCATGGCATCTTTTGTCGCATTCTGGAGTTGTCGAGCAAGAACCTATCACAATAACTCCAGCTTCCACATTTTCTGTAATATGTAACAAATTACTACAAAACATAAAAATATAAATAAACAAGTTATATATGTTTAAATTGAAATTGTAGATTGTTGCATACTTGGGATGAAGAGAACAACCAAACACAAGAACACAAGAAAGAAATATTTGCATGATGAAACCATTTTATTTTATTTTTAAGGATGAAATATAATGGAAACACTTAGAGTTAGATATATATATATACCAAAAATTAGTTCCCTCCATCAATGCAATATCTCAAAATATTTGGAATATTTATCATTTAAAAATTTGGTCAACCCGTTAATTTGTATTCCATATTTAGTTTAACTATATATGATAGCTCTATATATGTAAAATATATTAAATTTTGACCAAATATTCAATATACATGAATTTATTTATATATGGAAAAAGATGGTTAGTATTTCAAACTGGAAAATATTTGTAAAGAACAATTATTTGGTTCACCCCTAAGGGTAAACCTATCTCATTCACGCCCTCTAAGCTAACAAATCAGAATTAACCATGTCATCTAATTAAATTAATAAAAATAATTCATATTTATAAAACCAAACCAAAATTTAATCTTGCTTAATTACAAAATCTAAACCCTAACCACTATTTTATCAACCCAAACTTAATATAATATTTTTTTGGACAAACTGAAACTGATTAAAACTTAAAGATTTTTACACTGCATGGGAGGGGGAACTGAAAATACCCACAAGGGCTAACAAAAGAAAGCAGTAGGCTAAAACAAGAGCTGCAATAAAAGCAGTAAAGATAGTAGCAGAGGAGTTGCACAACAAAACTATATCATGGAGGATCCCTTTTAGCTTCATAGTAGTTTCCTTTGCATTGATGAGTGAAAGCATGCCTTGAGAATCCCACAGCCTTGAGTATCCCACAACACCTTTTGAAAGGCAAAATCCAGCTGATCAGTTGCCAATATGAGCGATCTCTGCAATGCAAGTGCTTCCAAAGCAAGGGCTGTGGCAACATAGTCATCCACAAGGAAAGGTGCAATACTGAAACAATCAGAACTTTTAAACGTCCATCCCAAACATCATAAACAATAAGCGACAAACCACTCTACCTCCTCATGGCTAGAGTGTTGTGATAAGCTTCGAGTGAGACATGCAATAGGGAAATTTAAGTGATCGAAACAGCTAGCAAAAGTTGGGCGAAAACAGTCATCAACAACAATTCTAGCTTATGCATCAAGCAGAACTGTTTTAGATTCAATGCTCCATATAACAGTACCACTAATCACAAGTGAAGTAGTTAGGAGGAAATTAAGCTCCGTAACGGAGAGATTATAGCTATGAAAGCTCCAATGAACCAAATTAGTTTGCCGGTTGATGTTGTTGAAAGATCTCTGTCCAAGCTGCCACAAGACAAGAGACAAATCGAGATAGGATCTGCATAATGCACTAATTGATCGCATCAAGGCGATAAGAGTGCTACAAGAGAACACAAATGTAGACAACAAAGTATCCAAACCCCTAGCAATCAAATTTGCTAACCTCGTATTCCACAAAGCCATAACCACACACTCAACAAACATCCAAATCCTTTACATCAAAGGAGAGTTAGAGTGCGAAGAGAAAGAGTGTACATGGGGAGTATCAATGACAGATTACCAGATCTAGCAGAAGGGAATTGGACGAACGAGACAAAGGTTGTAAGAGATTGGAAAGCATTGGCTGAGGAAGAGAAACTCCAAAGAAGAGGCAGATCTGAAGCTCCGGTGGAGGAGCATGAGGAGGCTGAAGAAATCGTAAAGCAACGAGAGTGGCTCAGAACACCAGAGGAATGGAAATCATCATCTCAGGTATGCGCTCGTCGGAGAACAAAACGTAACCAGAGGATCACCCGGAAGGACTCACCTTAATCACAATCACCAATCAAGAGAAGCGGTTGATGGAGGAGCAACACTGGTGGAAGAAGCTCATGTCGTCGAAGGAAGCGGCGCCTTTGGTTTTTGTGTCTTAATTTTGTTCACTTATAAAATTTAAACCCTAACCACTATTTTATAAACTCAAACCGAAATATAATCTCGTTTAATTACAAAAGTCTAAACACTAATCACAATTTATTCAACCCAAACCGAAATATAATTTCGTTTAATTAAAAAATCTAAACCCTAACCACAATTTTATCAACCCAAACTGAAATATAATTTTGTTTATTCATAAAATCTAAACTCTAACCACTATTTTATAAACTCAAACAAAAATATAATTTTATTTGCTCAAACCGAAAATATAAAATCTAAATCACTCAAACCGAAAATATAATTTCCTAATAAAAATCCTACATAGTTTGTTTCCTTAACTTTTTTTGATTTTAATGATTCTAATTTTTATTTATTTTTAATAGAAAATGACATGTCATATTATTGTATTTTGATTGGCTAATTAAGAGGGGTGAACCCAAGTATTTTTCAATTTTGTTTATATCTGTGCATAGGACGGGATCAACACTAGTATAATATATTAGTAAACACACGACATATTTAAACACACAACCCTAATCAGTACAATCAACTTAATTCAAAAACAATAAAGCTTTTAAATCACACAATAAAAGAAAATAGCTTAATTAGTACAAAAAATTCAATTCAAAAACAATAAAGCTTTTAAATCACACATAAAGCTTTACATCACGAGTAGCTGGACATCATGGCGAAGGAAGCCAGACGATTCCAAACAAAGCTGGCCAAGAGACGTTGCCGGATAAACAAAAGCGCACTTCATCTAGTTGTAGAGAGGGAAGAGAGACAAGTGCCGAAGATACCATGTGCTTTGTGACAATGATATAGAAATAACACACTTCCAATTAATCAATAAACCCAAAAATTAAATGAACCAATGTTTGCTAGAAACAAAGATCCAGTTCCCAACTTACAAGAGTATATAAGAGAAACAACTCCAATAAGATTGAGCAAGCACCGATTACACAGAGAGAGATTGAGAGAAAGATTAAAAAATCAGAACGGGAACAATTTTGTAATGAAGAAGATGATATTTGCTTCTTCCTCTTAAGCTCAATCGACTGAACACGCTCCACACGTTGATTATTCTCCACCACAATTCTCTTAGTTAATTTCCACCACAGTAACCTTATCCTCTTATTTGGTGACATGTGTTAGCTTTATTTTTATGCTTATTGATGATTTCTTGTAACAAAGCTCCCATGATTGGAGAACCTTGTCCTCAAGGTTCAAGAGAAGGAAACCGGCGCTGAATGTCAAACAAGTATTACCATGTAGCCTCTTCTTCACCTTCATTCTACTATTTAACCAACACCATAATCGCAGCACGACCTTGCCTTTGAACCATTTTCCTGTCCAGGATAACTTTAGGTTCTTGGAGAAGAACATCATGGACTATCGTTGGTAACTCAGTTGATGTTTGATAATTTCCCACCAGCACCTTCAACTGCAACACATGAAAAACCGGGTGCACTTGAGAACCACCAGGTAGAGCCAGTTTATAAGCAACCTTACCACATCGATCAACAATTTTATAAGGTCCAAAGTACTTGGGAGCTAACTTCTCATTGCCTCTGGTCACAACTGATTGTTGTTTGTAGGGCTGAAGTTTCACATAGACATAATCACCAATCTCAAATCTCCTTTCGGTTCTGTGTTGGTTAGCAAAGATTTGCATTCGATGATGAGGTCTTAACAAGTGAAACTTTAAAATCAGAATCATACTCTCTCGCTCCTGCAACTTTTAGCCACAACCGCAACCTTAGCCTCCCCTGGTAAGTAAGGCAAATGTAAAGAGAGGTTGAGTTATAGAAATAATGATGTTTTGATGATGGGTGGTGATTTTATGTACATACATTGTTGTGCACACATTCTTAACTTGATTGCCAATGAAGGTCTTGATGATATAAGTAAAAGCATCATAAGTGTTTGTAATGATGTAAAGTATGTGAGATCTTCTACTCCAAGGCTGGAATCATTTTAGTGTTGGGTGGAGGTTGAGAAGATAAAATGAGGAAGTGTTGTATTCGATTGTGTTACTAGGTGGAACTCAACCTACTTGATGTTCAAAAGTGCACTTAAGTATAGAGTTGCGTTTGATAGGATGGCTGATATGGATAAACCTTATGACGCATGGTTCAAAGAGCTTGATTCTAATGGAAAGAAGAGGAACGGAACTCCATTGGCAATTGATTGGGATAAAGCTCGTCATATGGTAAAGTTTTTGAAAAATTTCTAAGATTCGACTTTAGCCTTCTCTCCTTCTATAAAGGTGACATCAAATGGTTGTTACTGAGATTTGAAAAATTCAGTCCGGTGTACAAAGTATGGCTTTAAGTCAATATTATGATTTGAGAGATATGGCTTCTGCAATGGCGATCAAGTTTGGTAAATATTAGGAAGGTACAAAAAAATCAATAAGATATTAATAGTGGCTGGTGTACTTGATCCTCGTCGTTGATGGAAATCTCAAGACAAGAAAGATTCAATCTTGTTTAAGATAGCTAAGAAATGAGATAGCTCATTTACGAGCTTTATTGTGTAGAGAAACTAAGAGAAAAGAGACTTTAGATTGTCACCAAGATCTAAATGATTTTTTGATTGATCTCTTACAAAGATTAAGAAGAGAGTTACCATTACACAAGTTTATATATAAATCTCTCTTGATGAAAACACTAAACACATGGCTTCATTGGCTGTTGCTTGTGCAACTAATTGGGCCTTTAATGTGTGCTCCAATACTCCTCTGCAAACTTGGTGTGGGGTGAAAGCAATACAACAAGTTTGAACCTCAAGTGAAGATGATTGACATGAGAATGCATTATCGAAGTAAGAACGTTAAAAAGTAGGCGGATGGCTCTAACTCACCACGGAGAACAAACATAAGTGTGAGAACAGTTCATCTCTATACTTGGAAAGTTTCGCATGGCTCACTCAGAGGTACTTCTTAGACTTGGAGAGCTTAGTCAATCTCACTTAGAGGTATTTGTGACTTCTCTATCTCACTAAGAGTTTGGGAGTCCATTACCCATTTAACCCTTCTAATGTGTCTCATGAAAAAGAAATTTTTCTTCCCACAACTACTTAATCCTACTTGCTATTTGCTTCTCTTTTACTAGCCAACCACAATTTGTATTTTTGGCAGTTTACCAAACATCTTGTGCGCGCTCACCAAAAATCAGAAATATGCAGCCATATCATAACCCAAAACAGTCCTTTTGCATTCTATCTTCTCAATTCCAAACCTAGAGATCTAAAACCAGTAGCTATCCTTCTCAAGCTATGACAAAGCAACACTCCATGTTCTGTCTCAAAAGGAACATAAACGGTACCTTAAATATGGTAATGTGTACGCTTGATTTTGTGTCGTTGGTGACAGTCTCAATCTTGGAACTCTCTTTATACCACCTCTAAACCATCTTCTCTTCGTCTCCACAACTTCTTACCTTTTATGTTGAAGAAGCAAACACCATATATGAACGACGGCTTATGACCTTTCATGTTCCTCATACCGATTAATTTAGTATCTTGTGCTTGAACCCCAACTTTCAGCTTCAATTTTAAATCTTCTAGAAGAATCCAAATCATCTGAGTTCACGCACTCTAAGTGTTCGACGAAATTCCAGCTCCGAGATTGTGTGGAAAATGAAGCTGATTGCAGATAAATCTTGATGGATTGGCGTTGATTAAGATCCCTAAAATCGACTGTGTTTGGGTTTTCATCAAGAGAGATACATATATAAACATGTGTAGTGTGAAGAAGATATGTATCTTTGAGAGTTGCCTCATGTGGTAACTCTCTTCTTAATCTTTGTAAGAGATCAATCAAAAAATCATTTAGATCTTCGTGACAATCAAAAATCTATTTTCTCTTAGTTTCTCTACACAATAAAGCTTATAAATGAGATTTAATCTTTCTTGTCTTGAGATTTCCATCATGGTATCATGGCTTCATGGGCTGTTTCTTGTGATACTAATTGGGCCTTTAATGTGTGCTATAATAGTCGTAAGATGGTATTTACATTGTTCAGCTTTGAATCGTGTGCCTATTTCATGTTCAGCTTCAGAACCCTAATCTTCTCTGAAGTCTCATGAACAAAATATGCACCATAAATGCTCCTCTCCCCCACTTGAGTCCAGCGTAGAGGTGTCCGACATGGCCTCCCATACAACGCCTCATAAGGAGCCATCCCAATACTCGCATGGTAGCTATTATTATAGGTAAACTCCATTAAGCTCAAGTGATCTGCCCACTGACCACAACAATCCAACACACACATCCTCAATAGATCCTCAAGTGTCTGAATAGTCTGCTCTAACTGCCCGTCTCTCTGAGGATGGTAAGGCGTATTCATATGCACCTTAGTGCCCATCTCCTTCTGGAAAGCACTCCAGAACGCAGAAGTGAACGTTGAATCCCAGTTTGACACAATACTGGCTGGTACTCCATGAAGTTTCACAATCTCTTGCACATATTTCTTAGCTAAAACTGCCGCTCCATCGGTCTTCTTAATAGCCAAGAAATGTGCAGACTTGGTCAGACGGTCAACAATAACCCAAATGGCATCCTTGAACCGTGACATTGGTAAATCCACAACGAAATCCATCGTGATCATGTCTCACTTCCACTCTGGAATAGGAAGACTCCGCATTAGTCCACTTGGTACCTGATGCTCAGCGTTCACTAGCTGACACACATCACACTCAGATATTGTAATGCTCCTCACCCGGATTATGAGAAGATTCATGCAGTATGGTAACGTTCGATCCAACCTTAGTACCTTCCATTGGTAAGGCTATCTAGTAAAGTGTTGGCAGCTTGGGTCAAGTTTCCAAGAGTGTTTAGTGACTTAGGTATATTTGGTTAAGAAAAATAAGATTTTGTCTGTTAGATTTAGAATCGGTGCGATAAGGATCGTTTAGGTATGTTCGGTGGTCGGAAATCTCTCGGTACGGCCTTGTGCCATGTGCGGATGGAACAGACGGCCAATGAGTGGCCAAGTAAGCTTCTTAAAGGGTTAAGCCGCCTTACTGTTTGGATAAGGATGACCTCTCAGTCGTGTGCGAGCGTGATTGGTCCGTCCGTCCGTGCTTATCCGTTCTTATCCTTATCCGTTAGTGAAGCTTATCCATTTCCAAAACCGAACCTATAAATACCCCTCCCCCCCCCCTTCTTCCATCATTCTTCACTTCCACTCTAAACACCAAAAAGTTTCTCGCTTGCTCTAGGAGCTCTCGGAGAGACCTTCAGCCGCCGATCGAGTTTCTGTGAGTTCCGGTCGTGTGTGGTAGCACGCGACTAGGTTTATTTTATTATTTAAGTTATTATTTATTTTAATATTCATTTTAGTAGTTATTTGAATAATTTATTTATTTAGTTATTATATTAGTATGAGGTTAAGTTTTCTTACTTAACCTAATTTCAAGTGATATCTTTGTGATGATTACTTGTTGGTGTGTGATGTTATTGGTTATGCTTATGCATTGTGTGGGTTGAATAATTAGCAATAGCCGGGTAGTGTTATCCTCGTCGTGTATGATACGTTAGGTAACGTGATTATATACGAGGCTCGGGGCCGGGTCGCGATGGACTGAGCGACTACATGACGGTGTAGATTTAAGGAATGACAGATCTTCTATAGACTCAGTGTCTAGAAGTGTAGGTCATTACCTTGAGGATATCATTGATCCGTAGAGAAGGTCTTTCAGGGGATAGTGGATACATTCATATTAGCGTTATTCGTAGCATTATATTGATTGTGGCCGTAGTGCCGTCTTATGCTCATGAATATTATATTTCTTGTGATTGGGGAAAATGGGGTTGGGTTTACTAACGGTAGAGATCTCGGACTCACTGAGTAATGCTAGATTACTCATGATACTTCCATATTTGTTTTGCAGGTAACCAGTAAAGGGTTGTTGTAGAGGGAAAGCTGGACGCTAGGAAAGCCAGTGTAGGTTTACTGCCTTTCTGTAAAATTATTTTTTCAAGTATAAGTAAATAACCTTTGGAGATTAGTTCCCGCCCGAATAAAACATGTAAGATTTGGTAATGTGTTTTGAACCGTATGTGATATATATTATGTATACTAAGGATGTTTTATATATCGCGGTTGGCTCTTAATGATTATGGTCTAGTCCGGGCCGTCCAAACATTCGCTCACGGTAAGGGTTGGCAAGCCTGGATCCGTGTTCGAGTGGGATGACCTCGTGGTACGGACGACTAAGGTGTCCGAATTCGTTTCGAGAACCTCGGTTGACTGTCCGCGTGAGTTATCACGTAGCATCTTAGGCCGTTCTATCTCTAGAATGGTTCGGGGGTGTTACAGATACCCACTTAGTCACATCCTTCTTCATCCAACCTAATGATAGTACCTCTTTACATCTCTGAACATCTTGGTTGCTCATGGATGAATAGAGAACCTACTCGCATGAGCCTCGCTCAAGATCTACCGTCTCAACTCCTCATCTTTGGGCACACAGACCCGCCCATGCACAAGGATAGTACCATTGGTTGTAAACTGATACTCCGATTCAGTATCCTTATAAGCATTAACCAGCCCCACATTCTTCTCCTAAGCCGCTCGAACTCTGGTCAGAAGGTCTGCTCGGTTAGCTGCTTCTAACTAGTGGCTCTTGAGAAATAGCACACAACCGCAAGGTGCTAAGTTCTCCCACCAAGGTCTCTATATCCTGCCCTCGAGCTGAAGCCTCCCGCTTCCTGCTCAGAGCATTTGTAACCAGATTAGCCTTACCGGGATGGTAAGATATCTCCAGATCGTAGTCTGCAACCAACTCCATCCAACGCCTCTGCCTCTAGTTCAACTCAGGCTGCGTGAATATATACTTCGCCCATATAGATAAGATCTCCAGATCTTCAGTGCGAAGACTACCGCTGCCATCTCCAAATCATAAGTAGGGTAATTGCCCTCATGCTTCCGCAACTGCCGCGAAACATAAGCAATCACCTTACCCAGCTGCATCAACATACAACCAAACAAACTCTCGAAGCATCGGTCTACACCACATACAGCTCCCCCTTCTCCGGCAAAGCCAAAACCGGCGTACTCGTCAACATCTCCTTGAGCTTAGCAAAACCCTACTCACACTCAGGTGTCCAAACGAAAGGAACATCCTTCCCCGTCAATTTGGTCATCGGCTAAGCTGTGCTGGCAAAGCCTTTCACAACCGTCTATAGTAGCCCGCCAATCCTAGAAAACTCTGAATCTCTATGGCATTATGCGGTCTAGGCCAATCTCTGATGGCTTCGATCTTCTCAAGATCCACAGAAACTCCCTCTGCAGACACAATATGGCCCAAAAAACCCATCTTTCTCTGCCAAAAACTGCACTTGCTGATTTTATCATACAGCTTCTGCTCCCGCAACTTCTCCATCACTACCCGCAAGTGTCCCTTGTGGTCCTCAGAACTTTTAGAATACACCAAAATATCGTCGATGAAGATGATAACAAACTCATCCAGAAACGCCTGGAACACACTGTTCATCAACCTCATAAATGCTGCTGGTGCATTCGTCAACCTGAAAGGCATCACCACGAACTCGAAATGTCCATACCTCGTCATGAACGCCTTCTTACAGATATCCGCCTCGTCGATAGGAATCTGATGGTATACTGACGCCAAATAAATCTTAGAGAACCACGTAGCTCCCCTCAACTGATCCAACATCTCGTCAATCTGCGGTAGAGGATACTTATTCTTCATCGTGACTCGATTAAGTCCCCGATAATTAATACACAGCCGAAAACTCCTATCCTTCTTCTTAACAAACAACACCAGTGCTCCCCACGGTGAAACACTAGGACAGATGAAACCCTTACCCAGCAGATCCTCCAACTGCTTCTTCAGTTCAGCCATCTCCGCTAGAGCAATCCGGTACGGGGCCTTAGACAGAAGCGTCGTCCCGGGCTCTAACTCAATCGTGAAGGGATCCGACCAAGATGATGGTAACCGCTTCAACGACTGAAACACATCCTCGAACTCCTAAACCACCCGGATCTTATCTACCGCTACCTCTCCGACCGTCTCTGGCATCACGACCGTTGCCAAGTAGGCTTCCTGCCCCTTCCAAATCAAATTTTCCTTCTAAATCACCAAACTCCCTGAAATCGGTCTCACACCTTGACAGTACAACTTAGGTCCGGGCCGCTCAAAGTAGACTCTCCCCCGATGACAATCCAGATGAACTCTGTGCCGATCCAACCAATCCATGCCCAGAATAACATCATACAGCTCCATCGGACTAATGTACAAATCTGCCGGCATTGACTCTCCCGCAATCAGCACATCCACACCACTAGTCCGTCCCTGAACCGCTAGCAACGCAATTCTAACGGCTCCGAAATAACCATCATCTCCTCGGATGTTACCACCCGCCGTGCACTCCAGAGTAATAAAGCTATTCGTAACTCCAGAATCGAACATCACATGGGACAAGAACCCGCCCACCAACAGGGTTCCTACACAAACCCTTTTCACTAAGACCGCCCACCAACAGGATCCCTACACAAACCCTTTTCACTAAGACCGCACACCCAAAACCAAAGGAAAAGAAAACAAAATCTGAAACAACAGAAAGAAAAAATACTTGGCTCTCCTGTCTCCACGGTCGAGTAACCCCGCGATCCCTCGATCTGCGCCACCGGAGGTGCTCCCAACTGAGCCACAGGCTGCCCTCACGACTTCAATCCTGGCTGCACCCACTGCTGCACCACTGGCTGCATCACCGACTGCACCGCTGCTACCGCCATCTGTTGCATCTAAGGACACCTCGTTTTGATGTGCCCCATTTCTCTAGAGTGGTAGCAGACACGGGTATCCATCCATTGGTCGCCCTTCTTCGGGCAGCTCACAACCGCGTGATCAGTGTTCCCACACCTGAAGCACTTCCGATCCCCCTGACTCGCTCTAGAAGTGTCATCCCACTTCCTCCTCTGTCCCTGAGAAGGTTTGCCAACTCTGCTCGAAACCAACTGTGATTGGACCTTCTACGGCTGCACTGACGGGCTAGGAACCATACCGTAACTCCTTAACTCTTCCTCAATCCTTGCCGCCACCTCAACCAACTCCACACACGATGCATAGGCTCTCATCTTGCACCGCACCCTCATGTCGTGGCTGAGACCCTTCATGAACCGACGCACTTGCATCTGCTCAGGATCTCCCGCACCATCCGAATACACCAAGGTCGGCTAAACTCTGAATCGTACTTCCCCACTCACCGCTCACCCTGAGTCAATGCCAAAAACTGTGACTCCATTCGGTCAAGTGCCTCCACCGGGAAGTACTTGGCATTAAACTCTGCCAAGAAGTCCCCCACCATAAATGTGCATCACCAACCAAGTAGTGAACTGCTAGGTCCACCTGGTACGCATTCGGGTACCTCATCAAAAGGAAGTACCGCTTCAATCGCATCTGCCACTCATCTGCTACAGCCGGATCGAAACCTCCAAAAAACAAGGACATCCCAAACCGCTGCAGCTGCTCTAACATCCGTAGATAGTACGGCTGCTCGACCACCGCACCTACCCCCTCGGGCTGCACAACCCCGACATCGGGCTGCACTCTGGGCTCAACAGGCTGCACACCAGGCCTAACGGGCTGCACACTAGACCTAACGGGCTGCACTCCCGCCACTCTTGGCGGTCCAACTAGAGCCTGCACCGGTACCGCTTCCAGTAACCGCTCCAAAAGCTGCGTCAGCAAATCCGTAAGCCGATCATTCTGACCCTGGGCTCTACCTGCTGAAACACCCCCAACCGGGTTTTCAGCCACACTAGTACCGTTGCCGGACGAACTGGCTCCCACAGCACTCACACTAGCACCACCCAAGGATCTCTCCTGATGTGACTGGAATTCGCTGACAAGCTCGGCCGTAGCACTCCAGTCCACACTTGTGTCGCTACCCGAGGCAACACCATGCCCCCTACCGCGACCACAACCACCAGCTCCACCTCTAACCATCTGCATCACAACAAAAGGCTAAGAACACCAAACAAACATCACCAAAACACACAACTTACCGTGGAATCTCATTGAAGGGTCAAGAGGATGATCTAGGTCTCCATGCTCACACAATTGATTAACACACAAATCAATTAGCATGCAATCCACATCATTATTTCTCATCAACGAAATTCACACGTCACATCAAAATTACCAATTTATTCTCGCCCTAGAACCGTAAGGGCTCTGACACCAAAATTGAAACAACCCATCCCATTTTTTTTTATAACATGCAAACCAGATTAACCCATTTAGACCAATCAACTAAACAACTCCAATTAATTAAACCAATTAAACCAGACCAATCAATAATTAACCAGCAGAGGACTTAACCAAAATCCAATAAAAACAATTCCATTAACCAAACAATTCAACAATATTATTCCAGAACATGATCATCCTAACATGCTCCTAAATTTCTTTCTAACATCCTAACAAATCCAACAATAATCTAAAACACCAATGAGCGTCTAGATCATCCTCCTCTCCTCGCTATGATTCCACGGATCACACCTTTGCTTTACTTGCATCACAGAAAGAGATGCATAAGTATTTCATAAATACTTAGTGAGGCAATCATCCCACAACTGGCTATACACACAAGTAGCAGTGAACACATTCAAGTATTAACTCAAACAACCACAAATAAGTCACGTATCAACACAAAATGACCCGTTCTGACGAGTAGTGTCGATTGAAACCATCCGCTGGTGTCGCATGATACTCGTGACCATCCTCGCAGAAAAGAAAGTGGTGTCGATCGACACTCGCCACTGGTGTCGATCGGCTTCGATGACCGAAATAACACTTCCTCAGGCTCGTACCAAGACACCAAAACACATAAACAAGCGCACAAACAAATGAATCAATCATCAACCAGAGAAAACACCCAAAATATGCATCAAATCTGCTTAGATCAGCCTAGTCATGTACGCACCTTTGAAAAAGGACTGAAACAAGGACAAAAAGCTCACAATAACAGCAGCAAAGGACCCTCCTAACACCACTGCTACAAAATCTCTCTTCTCAAGAATAGAATGACCAAGAACAGGCCTCAAAACACTCTCTAACCTCACAAAACCTCTCAAGAGAACTTCAAAACTTTTAGAGAATATAAAAACCGGCTACAGAAACATAAGGTCGACACTTTACTTCTTTTAAAGTCGCACCTAGGTTTAACCATTCAGTAACCACACGATTTTGCAATTAAAATCGAACCGATCTACCCGAAAAGTGCTGGTGTCGAGCGACACCCTTCAGTGGTGTCGATTGACAACACCCAAATCGGAACACGGGCGTTACAACTTTACACCATTCAAGGCCCATATCACACAAGAGTTGGTGCACCGCATCTCACATGACTTTATGGAGCTTAAAATTGATGTTTCCGTAAATGGCTCATTCCAAATATTCCCATGGCGACCTAGAGAGTTTCCATATCACTTAGAAGCTTCACTACACCATCTAGGATGGACCACACCACACTTGATCAGGAGGATCAAGTCTGAGCTCTACTTACCTTATTTGGACCCGTTTTGCATTAACACACAACGACTCCTTCCTTCTTTGTTTGTGTACGTGTTTAAGGCTTTTTCTAACATCAAGAAGCTCCCAAGACACTCAACATATCCCCCAAACCGTCCAGATATAAGCCCAATCATATATCACCTTTTTGGCCAAGGATTCCACCATAAAGACTCCAACGGCTAGTTTTTGATCACATATCTTATTTCTTTGTTTAGATTTTAGAATGTTGTACTCAGCCCTATATAAGCTGATCATTAGTCACATTGTAAAAACCCCCTTTGATCATTTTAAAGTAATAGCAAAGTTGTTCTTGTCAAAGTTCAAGTCTTTGTCATTGTTATTCATTAGTCTTAAGTGAGTGAGTCTCTTAAGCCTATCAGAATCTGCGGATTAAGTTTGTTGAGTGATTCAACATCCTTTATTCGTTCATTTACCGAGCGAGTCGATTATCCCACCGATTGAGCGAGTCAATCACCTGAACTATCCCCTGTACCACCCCTTAATTCACGAGAGAGTGCTTCCAGCTCGTGACTTCCACCTTCTGCAAGCTAAGCTTGGAATCTCTTTTTCATCAAGTGATCTAAAGTTGGAGTGATTCCAATCTTGTATCATCTGGTATCAGAGCTTCAAAAGCTCCTATCCAAGGTTGTATCCTTTCAACCTATATTTTTTTTTCTATTTCTTTATTTAATTTTTTTGAGTATTAAAAAATATAAAACCCAAAAAAAAATATTTCTTGCTTTGTTATTGATTATTTGCTTCATTCTTTTATCAAAAATTAAAAAATTAAAAAAATTTTGATTTATTTTATTTTCTTATGTATTTCGGATTTATTAATAGAAAAGCCATAAAATCATATTTCTTTTATTTTTAAATTAATTTTCGTAATTTTATTTTTATAATAACAATTTTTTTTTTTCCATTTTGCTATTTAATATTTTCGAATTTATTTGAAGAAAAAAAATTCATATTTCTTTTTACCATTTATTTGTTATTTTCTTTCTTGTTTTATCTTTCCATGATACGTTCTTGATCTTTCTCTTTCTTTTGTTTTGTGCAAGAGAGTATTCAAGGATTATAGCCATGGAAGGCTATTCAACACAAGAACAAGAGTCCTACGACTCCAGCTCCTTTGAGTACGAGAAAGAAGATACAAACCAAAGTTTGTTTGATGAATAGGATGAATATGAGGCAACACCATGGCCTCATGAGATTACTCAAGGTAAGACTTTAGCGACAAAGTTGATGAGGATGAACCTGAACCAAAGCCACCAGACCACTCCCTAGATGCTACTAATTACCAAGGTTGGTACAATGAAGAGGACGATCAAGCGAGTGAAGCTGAACAATTCCATGGAGATGATTCATGGCGTGGAGATGATGTTTCTTATATCAGCAATGAAGAGGAGTCATGTTGTGAGGAGACTAATTCTCAGTTCGGTCAAGAAAAAGAAGACCTCCATCAAGAGGAAGAATAGAGACCATAGTGTGAAATACCTTACTCCGACCATGAGGAAGATTACCAAGGAGAAACTGAATCTCAATTCAGTTTAGAAGAGTTTGAAGCAAGTTTTGGTGATAGATCAGAACTTGAAGAAGAGTTTAATGAAGAGTATGAAGCCGTAAGTGAGGCTGGAAGAGATGATTCAGAAGGAGAGTTTGTCAAAGAAGATGAAGAAGTAAGCGAAGTTTTAAGAGATGAGTCCCATTACATTAATTTTGCAGGCCATCACCAAGGGCCAGAAGCATACTTGCGTTGGGAAGAAGACATGGAGGATTGGTTATTATCTAACCAAATTCCAGAGGAGGAAAAGACGGTTTATGCGTTAACGGAGGATGCGTTTAGGCGTTGGGAACAAGATGCATATATTCGTCTTGAATATGATGAACCGAATGCTTCTTGGGTAGAGATGAAGCAACTTTTGTATAAAGAGTTTGTGGAGGATAATAGCGACATGCGTCAATACAATTTACGTATCTACACCAATCCCGAGCCAAGAAGATGGATTTTAACAAAGCCGAAGGCTACACCTAAGAGAGCTTTAATCCCCAAGCCAAAGACGACAACTACAAGTACTCCAATGGAGAAGAATGAGTCTAAGTCAACAGCTCAAACAAGAAAAGAGGATAAAGATTCAAATCCACAAAACATAGCTACAAACCCGAGAGTTAAGTCATTGCATGATTCACAAGGCAAAGGAACTCAAGGTAAGTCTTCTAATCTTTCTAAGTTAAAAGATGTGATATGTTATAGGTGTCATAAGAGAGGACATTTTGCTGCAAATTGTTCAGCTAGAAAAGTAGGAAGGTTAAAAACTATAGAGTTTAAACCGAATGCTAGTCTAGCTACAACAAGTTCAGAAAATTCAGGTTCTTGTATGATACACTTGCTCTTGTCAAAGTATGTTAATTCAGGTCACACTATGGAGCACAAGGATATAGAAGTTGAAAGAATTATGAGCATTGAGAAGCAACCATTAGAACTACTAGTAAGTGGACTTATAACCTTATTCGATATTGGAATAATTCCACCATTCATCGTTGCTTTATCTTTTCTGTTTTTTATAATTCATTTTCAAGTATAATGCACTTGATTTTATTGTCAAGTTTCGAGAAAGATACAGGAACCATAGAAGCATACAATGGCCATCAAGAAACTACATCCAAAAGGAGTTTAAATTTGAAGAAAACAGAGAAACTAGCAAGGCGTGATAACATGCACCATATTCAAAGCTTAGATCGTGTTTCTCAGCCACTAAAGAAGAAGAAGATGATGACTTCAACAACATCATGCTGGGAGAAGAACCACCTAATGCACTACGCATAACCAAGCTACAACAATACAAAGGTAAGACCCTAAAGTCCAAAAATCAAATGAAGGCTAACTTGCTTTCTCTTGGTGCAGATTGTACAGTTTCGAAGTCGAAACTTTTTCAAGAGAGAGGATATGATGCGGACATCGAAACCAGAATAAACCGGGAGCAAACCAGCCCACACACCAAACCGGTCAACATGGAGCATTTTGGAGAATGCTTACCTACATGGAGTGCTGAACAAGCTCAAGGCCTAGAGTTAATTATTCACCAGCAAATCAACCCTAAGAAGACCAATGGTTCAGGAGGAATCATTTACCATGCAACTAATTCAGCGATGGTACATCCTGACGTACTAGCTAAAGTTCTCCCTGACAGACCTGAAGTACTCGCTGACGAACCTAAAGTAGTACAAGACCAGATGAAGTTATTCAAAGATGTTTCTCTTGCACCACGTAATGGTGTGTACGGACATTTGAATTGGAGCCTAGAAGACACTTTACACCATTCAAGGCCCATATCACACAAGAGTTGGTGCACCTCATCTCACTGGAGCTTAAAATGGATGTTTCCTTAAATGGCTCATTCCAAATATTCCCATGGCGACCTGGAGAGTTT